TGGGGGGGGGGGGGGGGGGGGGGGGTGGGGGGAGCAAGAAGAGAAGATTAGGAGGGAAAAAACTCCTCGACCTCCGTTGAGATTCTGCCCGACTTTCACGGGACGCCGGAATTCTGCCAGACATCCAAGTGACGCAGGAATTCTGCCCGACTTCCAACTGACGTCGGAATTTCGCCCGATCTCCAAGTGACTCTAGAGTTTTGCCCGAATACCATCTAACATCGGAGTTCTCCCCAGCCACCGACTAACGTCTGACTTCTACCCTACGTCGGACCTCCACTCGTCGTCAGATTTCTACCTGACGTCGGACTTCTGTCTATCGTTAGATTTTCGCCGGACATTTATCTGATGTTGGATTTCTACCCGACACAGTTCTTCCAACCTCCATCGCCTGCCGACTACAGTCTTTCTGACTTACGTCACCCGCCGACTACGGTCTTTCCGACTTACGTCGCCCACTGACTACAGCCCTTCCGACCTCCGTCGCCCGTCGACTAAGGTCCTTCCGACTACAGTCCTTCTGACCTCCGTTGTCCGCAGACTAAGGTCCTTTCGACTTACGTCGCCCATCGACTACAGTCCTTTCGACCTCCATCGCCCGCCGACTACAATCCTTCCAACTTACATCGTCCACCGACGAGTGGTCCTTATGACCAAACGAACACATCAACAGTGACTCTTTGTATTCACATCATGTAATGTACTCTATAAGATGTACATCAAGCTAAGACCTTCCCCCAAGAAAATGCATCATTTGTAATCAATTGCAATACTAGTGGATTCATTCAAACTGGGCTAGGCCTTGTGGGTTTTCCCCCTTTTTAGGGGTTTTTCACGTAAAAATATTAGTGTCTCTTGTAAATGTTACACCCTCTCTCTTATCTGATTGCGTGCCGGATTTTCGTACAAAGTTAAGACATTAAATTTTATATTTCTCTATAGCCACGAATACTCTACGATGCAACAATATATAAACAAGTAAAACATTATATCCATTTTTGGGTCTTTGTCCCCAAACACTAGGTAGGGGGCTTCCTATTTCCTTTCAACCGACGCGGTGATCTTATCTTGAAGGTCCACTCCCGATTAAGTCTATATTGCACCTTAAAAGAGTCAACTCATAGAGCATGAGTAATCAACAATGTTCCGACGTTAAATTTTCAAAAATACTGCATAAAGGAAAGAACTTCAAATGTTAGATTTTTATTTTGTGTTGTATTTTTTTTTTCATTTTTAATAGTTAAAATCTTAATTTAATTATGTATTAAAAGAATTTTAATAGAATTTGAGTCATGATATATAATTATGTTGATTTTTTTATAATAACCCATAGAAATAGTTTTCTAGATCCACTTCAAATAGAACAAGTATTTGAAGCAATATATATAAAAACTTATCATTTATTTGAGAGCCTTAGGTTTCGTTTGGAATAACTTTCTTACTGCTTCTTAAAGCAACTTTTAAGTATAAAAATTTAATATTTGTACTAAAAAGCTACTTTAAAAATAATTAGGAAGCTCTATCTAACAAAACATTAATTTATAAGTAAAAAAGCAACAACTTCATCTGAAATTCTAATGTTGTGTAATAAGGTGAAAAGTCTCGATAGTCCATATAATAATTCAAAATATGTTATATGACTATTGAGAGCAAGCGAAAAAAGGAGGTAAAGCCATTGAATGACTCAAATCCTCTAATGTTCTAATCACTAATCGAGATTTTGAAAGAATTGGATGAATTGACCCCGAAATGAGGGAATTTTATGAAACTTATACCATGTGCATAAGGTCGAGCATAAATAAATTTTGAATTTCAGGACATTCAACTACTAAGTTTGAAAATATGCATTCAATAATAAAAAAATGATTGAAATGTATGCCTATATATCCCGAGTTCTATTTAAATTAAGATAGCTTGATTCATGACAATTTAGGAGGACGAACTCATCAAAGATAATGAAGTCGTTAAAGACGATGAATTCACCAACTCAGTACGAACTTGCCAACCGGTTAAGGACATGGAGAAGCGGCGATGACGTTATTCACATCGAGATTTTAGTTAAATAATGACACTTATGCTTCATTTGGGATGACTTTTTTGAAAAAAAATAGTGGTATAAAATAATCCTAAATGAAGCCTTAATCAACAATTAATAATCCTCATTAGAGAACAAAATCATAGTTTTTATAATATATATCTTGTAATGTTAAACCTACAAGTTCAACCAATAAATTAGGCACTACAGGAAATTCAAGTATTACTGACGACTATTACCGGCAGTTCTATAGTGAAAGATGAGGATCGCCAGAAATCGTTTCTTACGCGGTTTATTTCGGCAGTTTTTGAACCACTGCAAAACGGTTTTTGAACCGTTGGAAAACCGTCGAAAAACCTCCGGTATTTAATGAAACCGCTAGAAATCTAACATTAACCGCCAGAAAAAACCGTCAGTAATGTCTGAATTTCCTATAGTGAGGGGGCATGCGAGAAATTATTCTGTGCAAAGCCCGGTCATAGCTCTATGTCCAGAGATGAATTAGGTGCAGCCATGCACATCAGCGGTACCGAGCACGGTACATATCGAAGGAGTGATGTGGTGCATTTTGATTGGTCTTCGAAAGGCATTTGACTTCCGCACAAAATAATTTTTGTACGTGTACCAAATCATTGTTATTCAAATTTTATACCTATTGGCAATCTAATAAACTCTCACAGTCTCACTCTCTCTCACCCTCTAATCTCCTATTTTGCCACTCGTTAAATATTATTAGTAAAATTTGTATCATATGAAATTATTTATATTTTAATTTTTTTTAGCGTGCAGCTCCCGCAAAGCTCATAGATTCGTGGTTACAATTTACAAAGCCATGCAACAGCCAACAGGCGCTCTAATCCTTTTGTACGAGAATTTCAGATTAAATACGCTAAAAAAGTATTTAAAAAAAATACAAAATGCGAATCACTTTATCGTTGACGTGAGGTCAACAACAGATGGACTGTGCAGTGTAAGATCGACTCGCCCTCCTAATTGACGCGAGGAAGAGGAAGAGCAAACAGTCATGGATGTTTCAGCGCACGATGTCTTTTGGTCGGCCCCATCGAAGAAGGAAGCCATGGAAGCTGTTTCTGACCTTCAGATGTGAGTTACTTTCTACACAATACAGTACCGGCAATCATTTTCCCCATGGTTAGTTGATATCTTTGATCCTCTGTAATATTTCAGGATATCGTCGCCAACGAATGGACAATCTTCATCTGGCTTAGTTCGGAGTCACCCTGGTCGTCCGTTTCCTGAATTGAGCTTACTACTTTCTCAGACACATCATACAATTGTTGATGCACTGCACCTCCTGTGGACTAATCCAACTTTTAAGGTATACTGTAGTTCTGAATTTTAAGGTTCTTATGTAGGTTTTCTTTATACGACACATTTCCTTATCAATTTTATACAACATAGGGTTCTTGTGTTTATTTTAAATGAACTATAAAAAAGCTTTCTGTAGTGGCAGAAGCTGAAGGAGTGTTAAAGAGAGCAATCAAATTAATTTAGGAGAAACAAAGCTAGTACCACAAATTCAAATATGATATTAAAATGCTAAAACATTCGCATGGGCTAGCTAGGGTTTTCTTGGTTTGGTAAAGGTTGGTCTACATCAATGGGGCAAAGAAGCAAAAACAATTCCGCTGTCAAAATATATAGGAGGAGAAATCGCAAAGACTTACAAAATATGTTAAATTCTCTTCTCACAAAACGAATGAGGAAGTGGAGAAGATCTCACTAAATTGGAGCAATGCAATTTACAGAAAATCAAAGGAAATAAGAAGAAATATTCTTTCACCTAATACACAAACAAAGCGACAACCATACTCCTTTGATTCTCCTTCCTTTGAATGTTGATCTCTTGAAAGAAGGCACACCGCCCTCAATTGATTGCTCAATGTCCCTTTTGCATGCTCGATCGCTCTTTTGTTTGCTCTCTTACTGTAAACCCTTATCTTGTCCAATTAACCTAGGAATAGGGCAAGTAAAAGTTATTTTTTAAATGTATTTATCAAAATTACATTTGTTATATTTCATAGAACATAACAATTTTTACTTATATCAAATCATCATTATTATTAAGGAATAAAGTGATAACCAACTCTGCTCAAATCACTAAAAATCTCTTCCTCACCCAAGCCTCCGAAGGCACTGACTATGATTGGAATCAGAAAACTACTAGTATTATTGGAAGTTGGGAATTGAGATCACCTTGGTAGGTTTGTTAAGATGGTTATGCTATGTGTTGATCTTTTGACCCAAAACTTACCATCTCAAACCTTTTTTATGGTGAAATGGTATCAAACATCAATATAGTAGGTTCTGTCATACCACATTTGATATTTAGCTAAGTGAATAGCACTTTGAATATCATAATAGCCATTGAGTTGTCCTGGTGCAAACCAAAATCTTCAAGTAAGCCTTTAAATCAAATAACTATTTTTGTATCTTCAAGAAGTGTATGTACTTTTCATTTGTAATAGAGAACGTATTGTGGGGTGAGACAAGGCTTACAACTGATGGCACATCAATATAGATTGAGGATATATTCAATATATGACATCCTTTCATGATCACCAGCATAATCTAAAGAAAAAATCGTACAAAACTGTAATTAGACCTCGTTATTTTGCATCAAATCTTAATCAATAATGCCTCTAAGGTAAAATCAGTTTCATTGCTTTCCAATATTCTTGACTAAGTTGATACATGTATCTACTCACAACTAGGGTGTAAGTGAGCAAAGCCGGCTCGTGAGCCAACACAAACTCGACTCAATAACAAGATTGCGAGCTGTGCTTATTGAGTCGTGAGCTCGACTATTAAACGAACTCGAGTTCAAGCTTCATAATGCTCGACTCGTGAGCTTGCTCGTATTAAGTGTTAGGAATTTTTTTGAAATTTTTTTTTACTTAATTTGAAAATCTATATGTGTTTAAATGAAAGAAAAATATGTAGGATTAATTACTAAAACTGCAGCCTAATAAAGGCTTCAACAATGCCTTATTAGTTATTACTAAAGTTGCAGTAACTGTAGCTTCTTTAAAAACATTTATAAAAAAATAAGCTCATATTCCAAGGAAAAAATTGCAACTTTCATTAATTTGGTAGTGCCTTATTCGAAGAGAGCAACAACAATAACGCATTTTTCTTTTTCTCGTGCGATAATCACGTCGACCCATTCTTCTTACGCCTCGCGTGCTTGCATCTATTGCCACGAGCCGAGCTCAAGCATGCCCGTTGAGCTCGAGTTAAGCATGACTCGAGCTCGGCTTGCCACACCTCGGGTCATGAAGGCGGTATATTCTAGCAACACGGGACACGATGAAGGGATAGAAAGATCTGTTTCATATTTACAAATAGGAACAAATATATACGAGTGATACAATTTGATATATATACACCAGAGTAAACAGAGGAAATGACTTAAACAACCAATTCATTAATAAAATACAAATAACTAGTACATCCAAATAACAATAATTCTGAGACAAGCCAGAAGAAATATAAATAAAATAGAAGCAGGAAAAAAACTAATCAACCCTCAAAATCAAAAGTATAATAAACTACTACAAAATAATAAATCTAAAAACAGTCTACTACTGGTGATTCTACTCCTAAGGTAACAATCCATTAAACACGCCTATAGGATCTACTGTGAAAAGAGATAACAGGTGAGTTTGAAAAATCAAACTTAGCAAGTAACTCTAATTTATCAAAGCATAAACGATAAAAGAATGGGGCATGCAATATGAACAACCAGAGGGTGGAAGTAACAACATATAGTTATCAAAATAAAATAGTATTAAAACATGTCATGTTTCTTACAACATAAATCTAATATGTTAATGCGTTTAATGCATACACCACACTACTATAAATGCAAATTATTTTAATACTTACAAGTGCAACCATACCAGGAATCATGATACCTCAAACTGACGTATCAGTCATTTATTATTTCCAATTCATGTCCACT